GACCCTTTAGAATTAAGATAAAGAGGAATTTCTTCCGTCAGAGGGTAGCAAATCTGTGGAACTCATTGCCACAGAAGGCTGTGGAGGCCAAGTCATTAAGTGTATTTTAGACAGATAGGCTCTTGATTAATAAGGGGATCAAGGATTACAGGGAGAAAGAAGGGGATTGAGAAAGGTTGGTGTGGACTGAATGGGCTGACTGGCCTGCTTCCACGCTGTACGGACTCTATGAAACATACGAGCGATGATTGAATGGAGGATAAGACTTGATGGGCCAAATGGCCTAATTCTGCTCCTTTGTCTTATGGTCTTATGAGAAGGTAAGTGGGCAGTTTGAATTGAAGCCAACATTGGGCAACTTCGCTCCATTCCTGTCCGTGAGATGGAACGTCTGACAGCGAGATACTCTTTCTGTGCTGCATCAGGACTGCAAGCCTAGTTTTGGTGCTTAAGTCCTTGAAATGTGTAAATTCAAATGGAGCTGTCCTTGCTGATTGCTCTGGGTTTATCTCTATGGCCACTTGTGCAAACTAAAGGGGACAGGATTTGGAAGCAATGGTTATGCCCTCTGTGACCACTGTCCTAATGATTCTGAATCTTGGACCATACACAACACCCTCGCCAAGTTACTGCTGCACTGGTAGGGCAGGTGTTAATAGAACTTTGGCAACAGCCTCACCTCAATGGTCACAACCATTATCTTGAGTTAAGGGTTGTGAGTTCAAGACCTATTCCAGAACCTTGAAAGCACAATATGGACGAATACTCTCATATTTGCTCATCAGGAGTTCCCAGGTTCCTGTTTTTATGAGAACTTTTATTTCCATTGGGAGTTCGCTTCAAGGATCTAGGAGTTTTATTTTCCCCAAAAGAACACAGAAATTTGTGGAACTGCTCAGTAAGCAGAGGCTGAATAAGGCTGGGTCTATTTTCCCTGGAGCGTCGGAGGCTGAGGGGTGACATTATACAGGTGTATATAAAAATGAGGGGCATGGATACTGTGAATAACCAAGGTCTTTTCCCACAGAGTAGGGGAGTCCAAAATACTGGAGGTATAGGTTTAAGGTGAGAGGGGAAAGATTTAAAAGGGAGCTAAGGGGCAACTTTTTCACACAGAGGGTGGTGTGTGTATGGAATGAGCTACCAGAGGAAATAGTGGAGGCTGGTACAATTACAACATTTAAAAGGTACCTGGATTGGTACATGTATAGAAATGATTTAGAGGATATGGGCCAAATAAATGTCAAATGTGACTAGATTAATTTAGAATATATGGTCAACATGGGCAACTTGGGCCGAAGGGTCTGCTTCTGTGCTGTATAACTCTATGACCCTATAAATCCATTCACATAACATCTTCCAAAAACAAAGACAGCCTGTCCATGGTTCCAATACAGATCTTGCCTCAGGACCCTACGCAGACACTGCTGCCCTCTGGCACAATCACTATGTGCAGTAGGTTCAGCACTTGAAAAGAATGAAAAATCATAGATGGGCAGTGACTAGAACACAGGTTGTAAGCATAATAAAAGTATTTAACTATGTTTATGGATCATGTGTTATTTTTCTTGCAATTACTTTTTCCAACAGGCAAATGGAATAGGCGCGTATCATAGGACCATACAGCACAGAGAAAGGCCATTGGAAAAAGACACTACAGTTTCTTATCTTGCCTAATCAAGTTGTTTCTTTACAACCCAAGACTTTTACTTCCACAACCCGACACAACATTTTATTAAGTTTGTTAATCATTAATAATTAGTCAGACCACAGCTGGAATACTGTGAACTGTTTTGGACCTCTTACCTGACCTTGGAGTCAGTCCAGAGAAGGTTCACTGGTTGTTCCTGGGTTTGAAAGGATTTTCATATGAGGAGAGGTTAAACAGGTACTTATTGGAGTTTAGAAAATTGAGAATAAACCTTATTGAAACATGCAAGATTCTTCGGAGGCTTGACAGTTAGATATTGAGAAGTTGTCTCCCCTTGAGGGGCAGTCTAAGACCACAGGGCTTAATCTCAGTGTAAGGGGTTACACATTAAAGACAGAAATAAGTGAACTATGTTCTCTCAGAATTATTAATTATGTGGAATTCTTTCAGGCAGAAGGATTAGGTTGTTAAGTATATACAAGGCTGAGACAGACTTTTTTTATCTGTAAGGGAATCAGGTGAGTTTGAGGAAAAGGTAGGGAAGTCGTGTTGAGGGTTATCAGATCAGCCATGATGTCATTGAATGGTGGAACAGACTTGATGGGCTGAATGGCTGACTTTTTTTAAGAATCCCTACAGTGAGGGAACAGGCCAGTTGGCCCAACAAGTCCACACCAGCCCTCACCCATCCCCTTACTATAAAACCCTGCATTTCCCATGGCTACCCCACCTAACCTACACATCCCTGGACACCATGGGCAATTTAGTTTGGCCAATCCACCTAACCTGCACATCTTTGGACTGTGGGGGGAAACCAAAACATCTGGTAGAAACCCACACAGACACAGGGAGGACAGTTGCCTGAATGTGGAATTGAACCCAGCTCCCGGGCACTGTGAGGTAGCAGTGCTAACCACTGAACCACCATGCTGCCCTGCTGACTTCTGCTCCTATGTCTTATGATGTAAGCTCTTGAATATACCTCTGCTGGAAATGATGTAAATGTCTTGAAGACAGTTGAGAGCAGGTTTACTCTATTGATACTTTGAGTGAGTGGGTTGACTTAAGAGGAAAGATTGAACAGGCTGATTTGGTTTCCCCTGGAGCCCAGAAGCATGAGGGGTGACTTGATCAATGTATATAAGACCCTAGATGGTCTTGATGTGATGGGCGTGGAAATGATATTTCCTCTTTGTGGGTGAGGCCAGAATTTGGTGCATGGTTTTAAACTGATGGGTTGACCTTTCAAGACAGAGGAGGAGAATTGTATTCTCTCAGTGTGTTGTGCACCTTTGGATCTCTGTCACAGAAGGTGGTGACAGTGGTCATTACACATATTTAATGTGAAGTAGATAGATTGTAGGAATTAGGTCATTAAGTTTATTCAAGACGAAGATAGACAGGGAGGGAATCAAGGAGGTTTGAGGTAAAGGCAAAAAAGTGGATTATCAGATGTCTCACCAGTTCCTTATAACGTGTCTCTGCAACTTGCCATTTATTGAAGGCACAGACATGACAGGCTAAATGGCCTCCTCATGTGCCACAACATTCTCTAATATAGTGATACATAGACTTGCCAATCGCTGAACTTTAGCTGTGAAATAGATTGGCTGATCCATCGTTGTAAATACTTATTAATTGATGTGAATCTTTGATTAATGTGAATGCAACCATCATTCATTTTGTGGTAAAATATTCTTTATTACAAGATGTACAGCATATTGAATTAACATTATAAATATAACTATACATTAGAAGGCTCTGCTTTATATGTGCTATTCGCTCCAGTGCTATCTTAATGCTAACAATGGCTAGGTAAGCTTCAATGCAACATTTATATTTTTGTTTCTTTGCATCATGATTTATCATTTAAATATTTGAATGGAAATGCAATTCCTTCTCAACTGAGGGATGTTCAATTTCACCAGCTGCTAACAGAATATGTTCCTTCAAACATGAAATGAAATCTCTGTCATTAAATTTGTCTTTCAATTTAATTTAGAAAGATTGCAGCTTAGGGCTTCATTTATGGCTGACCGTAAATCCACTGTTTAGAGCATAAATGATCCTGACAAATATCCCAGGTTTGCTCCCATGCCCATGTTTGACTGGTACTGGTATTGTAGTCTAGAATTGTCATCCCTGCATTGGGGAAACAAGGATGAATATTTGTCCACATTTCTGACTTTTAGCTAGACTCCAGGGATGGCTATTGGGACATGTGTCTGAAACATGTGTTTGTAGAAGGATTTGGACAGGTTAGGATAGTGGGCACAAAAGTGGCAGATGGAGTACAACATGGGGAAGTGTGAGTTCATGCACTTTGGTAAGAAGAATAAAAGCATGGACTATTTTCTAATTGGGGAGAAAATTCAGAAGTCTGAAGTGCAAAGAGACTTGGGAGTTCTAGTCCAGGATTCTCTCAAGGTAAACTTGTAGGTCGAGTCAGTAGTTAGGAAGGCAAATGCCACTTTGGCATTTATTTTGAGAGGACTTGAATATAAAAGTAGACATATACTTCTGAGGTTCTATAAGGCTCTGGTCAGGCCACATTTGGAGTATCGTGCACAGTTTTGGGCCCCATATCTCAGGAAGGATGTACTTCTTCAGTCAGAGAGGCTGTGGAGGCCAGCTCCTTGAGTATATTTAAGATGGAGATAAATAGGTTCTTGATTGTCAGGGGGATCAAAGGTTACAGGGAGAATGGGGTTGAGAACTTATCAGCCATGATGAATGGTGGAGAAGATCTGATCGGCCGAATGGCCTAATTTCTGCTCCTATGTCTTATGGTCTTATGGCCGATTTGACTTTTTTCCTTTTAATGCACTCATGGGATGTGGCCTGGCTGCATGCACGTTGATTGCTAATCCCCTGAGTCGCCCCTGAAAAGGTTGTGGTGAACGTTCTATAATAGAATAGGCTTTAAGTTAATAGATTTTATTTTAATAGATTTTAATTTTCTGAATAGATTTTAACTTCTAAGGATGATTTTGCTCTTTAAATTTTACTCCAGCTTGCCAAGCAAAGGTGGCATCGTGGCTCAGCGGTTAGCACTACTGCCTCACGGTACCAGGGACCCAGATTCAATTCCAGCCTTGCGTGATGATCTGTGTGGAGTTTGCATATTTTACATGTGTCCGTGTGGGTTTCTTCCGGGTGCTCTGGTTTCCTCCCACAGTCTAAAGATGTGTGGGTTAGATGGACTGGCCATGTTAAATCTCCCCAAGGAGAAACTGGTTAGGTGGGTTGACCATGGGAAATACAGGGTCAGAGGGGTGAGCAGGGGATAGGTCTAGGTGGGATGCTCTTCAGAGTGTTGGTGTAGACTTGGTAGGTTGAACGGCCTGCTTTCACACTGAAGGGATTCTATGAAATGTGAGATAGGGTGTCATGCTCTTCAGATGGTCGGTGTATATTTAATGGACTCTTTCTGCACTGTAGGAATTCTAAGGTTCACTTGAAATTCTTCCATTTGTGGAAGGCTGCTTTTCATTTATACCTTTCTACTTGATGCATAAAATCATTCAGCAAATTTAAAATGCATGAAATAACATGGCTCAATCTCCAACTTATGGATTCCCCTTGCACTAGTTAGCTCTGAGTCACATATACATCAATAACAATTAAATGCTTTTTGATGAACTGAAAGGTTGGAGACAAATAGCAGGAGAACTCAACTTGATGTGTACTCCTTTATGCCACTGGGGACTGGCGATGGTATTTGTTGCAGTTTTCTTGATACTACAGGGAAAAGATAAGGTGAATAGGGAGAAATTAATTCTGCTTCAACAAAAATAGAAATTGCTGGAGAGACCCAGCATCTGTGGAGAGAGGGACAGGCTTAATGTTTTGAGTCCAGTGGTCCTTCATCAGATCTTGTTCTAAAGAAGGTTCACTGGACTCGAAATGTTAGCTCTGTCTTCTCTCCACAGATGCTGCCAGACCTGCTGTGTTTCTCCAGAAATTCCTGTCTTTGTTTCAGATATTCCGCATCTGCACCTGCTTGTTTGAGGACTTAGGGACATAATCTCAAAGTTAGAGTCATACCTTTTCAGGGGTGAATTTAGGGGTTAGTTATATATGCAAATGACAATTCATACATAGACAACTGCTCATTTTAAATCTAACATTGATAGTTTTCTGTTAACTTCAAGATATTAAGGGATATTTTAATTGAATTGGTCACAGATCAGCCATGATCTCATTAAAAGACAGAACAGACTCAAGGAATTAAAAGGTCGACCCTGTCCCTTTATTCTAATGCACGGTGTATGGTGAAAAGTCACTATACTCTCAAAGGGCGGCTCCCTCATTGAAGGGAGACAACTGGTGGTGAGCTGAATGTGAGGGTCACTCTGCCTCAGGTGAGGGGCAAATTTGATAAGGTAAGGCATTCATGGTGACCTCAGCCAGAGCCAGAATGCACTGTTGGCATCACTTTGCATTGTGACCCAGCCATCCAACCAAACCTCTGTGCAATGTTTGTGTTTATGTATGACATGGGCCATAGGTATGTACAATGTGTCTGGGTGTGCGTGCTTGGCTTGCTGCTTCTCAGAAATGTGATGGATGTTTGAAATCGTTGTGCTTTCCAATGTGCTGGTGACATTTGAGAATAAAAAGATTATTGATAGGTTTGAGGTGCCAGTCCAGTGTTGAAAGTATCATCCTTCTTTGTCCAAAATGCAGAATATTGGAGTAAATTTGGCTGTTCTGAAATAAATGACCATTTATGTCACAAAACAGCAGAGGTGAGAGAGATAACCGCCCTGAGCAAAATTCTAGACTGACTGCTTTCCCAAGACTTTTGTCACAATATCATTCTCAGGCTATAGGCATCACTGGTGGTTACCACCCTTGGCATTGTGCCCTACTGCATATTCTTTGATAAATCTGCATGGTTGTTGAGGGTCCATAGGTGTGAGACTACAGTACCCTGTAGACTACACCAGCTAAGGGCAACAAGTTTCTTTCCCTGAATTAATGGGAAAGTTGGGTTTTATTTTGTCAGAAATCTGACAACATTATGGATCACTTTTACTGAGATTGGCTATCTACGTTAGTAATTTGGTTTGTAAAACTGAATTCCAATTCTCAAACTCATTTTGATCTGAGCAAACATTCTTTGGATTGTTATCCAAGCATCTGGATACTAGTCATGCAGCATAACTATGACAGTCCTGTACTCTAATGACTACATATGGAGAATGTGGCCGATTGTGACACTCCTTCTGTCACGTTGTTCAGCTAATTTATCACAGAGCTGGATCATTGTGGTCAGGATAGCACAGTACCAGTGTTGCACATAAATCAATGTGGATCACTGAGCAGAGAATGTAAGTAGGCATCCCTGCTTTTAATGACATCCTAAGATTTACATAAAACTTACAAGCTATTAATGTTCAAAAGACAGTTATTTTTATTTACATGGCTGTGTAATGGCAATGGTCCTCATGGTAACTTACTACAAAATATTAATTATTTATGTACAATTAAGTCTGGAAATGATGCAAAACCATTAAAACCACGGTTTCAACCTTAGCATTCAATTCTGGGCACTGCACTGTATGCCAAATCCTTGGAAAGGTTGCACAGAAAGATTTACTTAAGTTTGTGCAAAGAATAATGGACTTCTTTATTTAGAAAGGCTACAGAAACTGGGATTGTTTCCTTAGAGCAGACAGGATTTAGGGAAGCTTTTATAGATGTTGAAAATGAAGAGTTTTGGTTGGACGAAAGAGGTGAAGCTGTTTTTAATGGCGGGGCATTTGTTGACGAGATTACACAAATTTACGTTAAGAGGCAGAAGAATCAGGGAGGAGAGCAAGTGTTTTTAATGCATTGAGCCATTGTGCCTTGTAGTATGCTAGTTGAAAGGGTGGTGGAAACAGTTTCAATTGTCTCTTTCAAAAGCGAATTGGATAAATACTTGAAGGAAAAGGAATCACAGGATGATAGCAGTAGAGTAGATGGTGAGACTGACTGAATAACTTTTTCAAAGAGCCAGCACAAGCACGACCTCCGTATCATGTCGTGAAGCTATTTGAAAAAGGGACCTTCCATTTGATAAACACTGCTGCTTGTGACACAAAGTACTCGGTAAAATCAAATTTGGTTATTAAAACAGTTAGCACTAACAACTGGATAAAATGCAACGCTTGACAGTACCTGACTTCTAAAATTGATTGACTTCATGTCACATTAATATAGAAAAGCTTCAAGTCCCATTTTCCACAGTTACAGCTTGTTGTTAATTTTAAGACCACCATTGGCACCAACGTTACTTTACCCACAATGATCAACAATTCAAGACAGAGTTCATTATCAATAAGCTCAAACTCAATAGGATTAATTGCTGAGACAAGTTTTTCATTGAACAAAGTCAAAATTTCTCTTTTTCTGCAAGCAGTGCCAATTGGACATAAATGACATTTGCATTTAGAAAATCCCACGTACTGACTATTGCTGTGCCAGGGAACTTGAAGTTGGTGGCGTTCCCATGTATCTGCTGTTCCTTGTCCTTCGAGATGGAACTGGCTTGAAGCCATCAGTGTTTATATCCATTCAGCACAAATTTAAAATCGATTGCCCCTTTTTTTTAAACAGCACAAGTCAGCAGAAATTCGTACTGCCGAAATTGAAGAGAAACGTGACGGAAAACATTTGAAAGAATGTTGAAGAAATATTTTGTGCATCTGGTGCCACTTTTTGTGAAGGTCAGCACGGTGGTCCACAACTGGCACTGTCCACTGAAGGCAGTTCCTTGGGCATTTGCTAAGGGGAGGGGGCCAGGGAAGGAAACAATTTAAAAGAAACAGTCCATTAAAAAACATGGACGTAGGTCATCTTCGAGTCACTGCCCAGCAGGTTCTTAGCAGTGCATTTGTAAAAGCCAGTGTCTCTGTTGGAGGGATTCTGCAAGATTAGTAACCCTTGAGGATCAAGGTATTTATTCCCAATCAAACGAGCCTGATTCATGACTGTGACTCGGGTCTTGTCTGGAAGTTCCCAGTTTATTTCCGCTTTCGGGATACCCATGGCCATGCAGTTCAGCTGAACCGAGATGCCGTGTCTTGCGTACGTTACAGGACTTGGCCCGTTCGTAATGCGGGGAGGGTAGGCTATCACGATCACTGAGACACTCATGAAACTAAGGCCCAGGTCGCTCATGGCTTTGCAGGAGTAAGTCCCTCTGTCATACACAGAGGCATCGTGAACAATGAGCGAGCCATTCTGCAGGACGGAGAAGCGGCCTACATTTTGAGGTCTGTTCAGCACCATACCATTGGGTAAAATCCATGATAACTCAGGTTGCGGATTTCCCCCGACTATGCAATCCAACCTCATTCTTTCGCCTGGCAGAATTCGGACCAAACTCGAGTACCGATTGCGTATTTCAGGTTTGTGGCCAATCTCCAGGGTCACCAACCTTTCAACGGAGCCCACTGTGTTCCTGGCTATGCAGCGGTAAGCTCCAGCTTCTGTAGCAGAAGGACTGCTGATGTGCAAGGTGCCGTCTCTCCCATGGTACATCTTTTGCCATCGCTGACCGCTCAGGAGCCTGTTTCCATCCGGGAGGATCCAAGTTGTTTCTGGAGTTGGGTTCCCTCTGGAAGAGCAGTTCAGGTTCACGCTGTTGCCGATCACGATAGCGACCCCGGCACTAAGTGGGTTGGTGAACGAAGGTTTCTCTATGTTGTCCAATACTTCGAGATGCACAGTCAGCCTGGCTTCTCCTCCTTCGTTATGAGCAATGCACACTAACTGGTCTGCGTCTGACCTCTTCAAGCTCTGGATGTCAAGTGTTCCGTTGTGATGCACTCGAATTCTACTTCCATAATATGGGGCCGTTACAACCACATTTTCTGGCAGCACCCACATGACCCGTGGACGAGGCATCCCTTCTGCCTTACAGTCTATTTGCTTACGGGTTTCTTTCATTGCTTTTTCCTTGATCACAGTATTTGTGCCTTTCTGCCCATTAATACTGGGTGCTTCGATGTTTACCTGCACAGTGATGACTCTTCTACTCTCTCCTGCAGTATTTCTTGCGACACACGTGTAGTTTCCACTGTCTGATCTCTGTACATTATGTATGTGAAGAGTACCATCAGTTGTGACTTTGTACTTTGAGGAGGGCAGGATGAATCTGTCGGTCGGGGAGTGCCAGCTGATCCAGGGAGTTGGCTCTCCTTTAGCTCCACATTTTATTGTACAGGACTCACCATATGCCACCTGAACCAGAGAGGGAGTGCCATTCTGGAAACCTGGGGGCTCTGCTACAACCTTCACATTGACTTTCATCTCGTCTTTGCCGATCTGGTTTACCGCATAGCAAGTGTAGTCACCTTCATCTCTCAACCCAACCTCGTTGAAGTACAATGTGCCATTATCGAAAACTGTGTACCTGCGGGTTCTTGTCCCGCTGTCATCGGACTGCATGACGCTGTTGACCATGGTACCGTCTGGGAGGCCCCAGGAGATCTCTGGGTCTGGCAGTCCCGATGCTATGCAGTCAACTTTGAGGTCCTTACCATACATAACCTTCTGCTTGACATCCTGCTTATACTCAATCTTGGCTGGCTTCATCATCACATTCACCTTGAGCACCATGAAGTCATCTCCTATCTTGTTCCTGGCTACACAAAGGTAATCTCCGGCGTCTTTGTCTGTAACCGATTGAACAACGAGAGTGCCATTGTCATACACTTTGATTCTCTTGCTATAACTGAAACACAAAAAAAAACACATTTAGAAGTTAGTGACCAACAATAGAAGACTTTGTTCGTGTTTCAATTCTGGTATGACACTTCTTCAGTTCTGACGAAGGGTCATATTGGATCTAAACATTAATTCTGTTTCTCTCTCTACAGATGCTGCAAGACCTGCTGAGTTTCTCCAGCATTCTCTGTGTTTGTTTCAGATTTCCAGCATCTGCAGTGTTTTACCTTCAATGGAAGATTCTGGCCGTTAGAAACTTGCTATGTACATTTCCCATGGAGGAGCCGGCATTTCAGTGTAAAGGCTTGATTCAACCCTTGTGCAGTGTACAGATTTGATGGCATCCCAGATAGCTCAATAAGCCATTTTCCCAAATCATGTTTTTATTAGAAAGAAACAGTCCTAGGACTGATCCTCAGTTTGTCATTGTGTCTCTCTACCGAGCTGATCTCAGTTGGGCCAAGTTAAAAGAATAGAAATTAGGAGTATGAGGTGACCATTCAGCTCCTTCAGGCTGCTCCACCGTTCAATAATATCATAGCTGATCCTGTATCCCAATGCCATATTCCCACGTTCTCTCCATTCCACTTGATGCCTTTAATATCTAATATTTATATTGTGAGGTCTATGTTTGGAATTCGATGTGTTCCAATTCATGCAAATGAGTGCACATCTTGGCTGTAAGATTTGCTTTTTGACTATGGTACCACAGCATTAATCATTGAACTGTACTCTAAAATGATTCACTACTTCCTAGAAAGGAAGGAGAGAGAGAACAACAGCCTGAGAAATTAATAAATCATCTCCATTTTGATTCTAGGCTGAGCCTTGTTGCCCAGTTCTGAAGAAGAGTCACATTGGACTTAAAAATCTTAGCTCTTCCCACAGATGCAGCCAGACCTGCTGAGTTTCTCCAACTTTTTTTTATTTTAGCATCTGCAATAATCGTTTTTATTTTACTTGCTGTCCACTACTTCCTCACTCTTGACCCAATATCAGGTGGAGTAAAACTCAATTCACGATGCAGCCAAACAGCAAGTTTAATCCTTAACTCTTGAGATGTTCCAATACACTCACAGAGCCCCTTTAATATGGAACGATATCCCGGTGTCGTTTACAAAATGCAGCAGTGAACAGATGAGCACCAACTAAACATCAAGGGGGGAGAGTTAGGGAAGGCTGCCAAAGACATGGTAAAAGCAATAGGTTTTGAGGATGCTATGAAAATGATGAGAGAGGGAATAAAGTGCAACCTTTTGGAGATAAATTCTTGACTATAAGAGCAAAATGACTGAAAATTGCAGTTTAACCATCATTTTACTGGTGGTGAAATGTTATCCCCATTGGTCTGCTCCTGGGTGGCTAAAGTTAAATGCTGTCCAGGTCTGGCTGCCTAACTCTTTTTTTCTTGATATATTTGTGGGAAGTATGCATTGCTGGTTGGGTCAACATTTATTGGCCATCCCTAATTACCCTTGTGAAGGTGGAAGTGAGCTCTTCTTAAAACACTTCAATCTATTTGGTTTTGGTAGACCCACAATGCTGTTTGCGAGGGGATCCAGAATTTTGACCCAGCAACACTGAAGGAATGGTGATATATTTCCAAGTCAGGTTGGTGCACAATTTGGAGGGGAACTTGCAGGTGTCGGTGTTCCATGTGACTGCTAACCCTTGCTCTTCTAGATTGTAGTTCCACTCATCAACCACTGGGTAGTTCATCTCTGACAATCTGGATGTGAGAAGCAACACTTCCAGGAATTAGAGCATGGTCTGTGTTTTCCTCCATTGGGACAATATGAAATACCTGCCTCTTTGAGCAGGTTATTGATCACCTGATCTGATATATTCTTATTGGTTTGGAATCAAATTTTGCTTTACATTGTTCTTGCAAAGTGTCTTGATGCACTTTTACTGTAGCATAATAAAAATGGATATGACTTAATAAATTATAATGGGATGATGTTGGCTATCTTCATGAAACTGTTTAAATGGTGTAAAACTGCAGAAAGTTGCAACACAAAGGGACTTGGGGATACTTGTACATGAAATACAGAAATCTAGCACACTGGTGCGGCAAGTAATTGGGAAGGCTCATGGAGTGCTGGTCCTTATTCAAGGGGGCTGAAGTATAAGAGTAGGGAAGTCGTATTGTGACTGTACAAGGTGCTGGTGAGGCAACATGTGGAGTACTGTGAGTAGTTTTCACCCCCTTATTTAAGGAAGGATATTATTTCACTGGAAGTGGTTCAGAGAAGGCTCACTAGGATGATCCCTAGGTGGAGGGATTGTCATATGATCAAAGACTGGGACTCTACTCACTAGGGTTTTTAAGAATGAGAGGTGAAGTCACTGAAACATAAAGAATTCTAAAAGGGGTTTGACAGGATAAATGCTGAGAGGATGATTCAATTGAGGGAGAGTCTAGGACCAGAAGACATAGTCTCAGAATTAGGAGGCCCCAAAATTTAAATCTGAGATGAGGAGGAGTTACTTCACTTAGAGGCCTATGCGTCTTTGGAACTCCTGCCACAGACAGCCGTGGGACAGAGTCCTTGTGTATATTTAAGGCTGTGATAGATAGATTCTTGATCCGTCGGGGAGTCAAGGATTATAGGGAAAGGGCAGGAAAGTGGACATGAGGGATGTTGAATCACCCATGATCCTGTTGAATGGGAAGCAGACTCAAGGGGCTGAATGGCCTACTCCCATTTCTATTTCCTTCATAGAAATTGTGACATCAGCAGTCATGAGCAAGAGGTGGTAGAAAAAGGAGAGTATTAGTGAGAGATGCATTTACAAATTTTATGTAGTAGAATGCAACTGAAAGAGTTTGTGGAAACCTGTTTGAGTCAGAGAACAGTCACTCATAGCTGAGGAGAAACCATTACAGGGCCACAAACTACCAGCAGTGACAAGAATAACCAATGGCCCAATGTGCTGAATCAAACTATGAGCTACATGTCTTGTGGCAATGCAAACCAATTAATTTAAAAGCGCTATACATATATAAACAGTTGTTGTTATTCTTAGACCTGGGTCACAGCCAATTGCTCAGAATATGAGGAGAGGTTTTGAACAGTTGGCTGGTGTGAATGAATTTGAAGCGGTGTGCTAACCTCTGCTTCTTGCCCTTTGGCCTTCTGGTCTTTCAGTGAAGGATGGATTTTGATCTGAGCAAGCAAACCATCACAGTTCAGGCTAAAGCCATGTCTGTTGACAGAGTCCAAATCTCCTCACTCATCCACTCAATTAAACATTTCGTCTTGTGAGGGGGTTTTCCCCAACTAAAATTGTTTAATTATTATTGCAAAGCAAAGTGTTTTGTTGTCCGATGGCCCAACTTTCTATTAGAAGAGTCGCGGTGATGGTAACCATGACAACTAATTTCGACTATTGTAAAAACCCATTTGGATCAGTAATGTCATTTCAGGAGGAAAATCTACCATCCTTACCTGGTTTGGCCTACGCATGACTCCAGATGCAAAGCAATATGGTTGACTCTTAACTTCCCTCTGAAATGGCTTAGCAAGCCAATCAGTTCCAGGAAAACAAAGGATGAGCAAATTGCCCGCAACATCCAGATCCAATGAATAAAAGGAGCCAAGAAAAGACACTTAAACATAGAACAGAAAGACCTGGATTCTTATAGTACTTTTCACATTCTCGGAAGGTCCCTTTAAAGCACTTACAGCCAATGAATATTTTTGAATTGTTGAGATGGAAGAAATATGGTGGCAAATAACCAGATAGTCTCTCTTTTTCTAGTCGTGTTGGTGGAGGGATAACTATTAACTAGAAGATCAGGGAGCATTTCCCTCCTCTCTGTTTTGTGGATAAAATGTTAGTGACTTCTGGCTGCTCAGGTGGATATAAATGATCCGATGGCACTGTTTTGAGGCAGGGCAGAGGACTCCTCCTCTGTATTCTGGACTCAATTTATCCCTCAGCCAACAGTGCGAAAGAAGAAAAATCTGGTCATTATCACATTGACTGAGAGCTTGCTGCACACACATTGGTCATCCATTTGATGCAACATAACAGTGAATGTGCTACAAAACTGCTTCACCAGCTGAAAAGAACTTTGGGACATAAAAGATGCAATACAAGTGCAAGTCCATTTTCTCCCTCTTAGAAAGTGGGCTGTGGGAACTTTTACAATCCTTTGAGAGGGCTGATAGTGCCTCAGTTCAAAAATGCAATGGTATTCAAATTGGATTTTTCCAACAACTTTTTTCTTCATTCATTTGTGGGACATGGGCGTCGCTGGCTGACCAGCATTTCTTGCCCATCCCTAGTTGCCCTTGAGAAGGTGGTGGTGAGCTGCCTTCTTGAACCGCTGCAGTCCTCCTGCTGTGGGTTGACCCACAATGCTATTAGGGAGGGAATTCCAGGATCTTGACCCAGCAACAGTGAAGGAATGGCGATATATTTCCAAGTCAGGATGGTGAGTGGCTTGGAGAGGAACTTGAAGATGGTGGTGTTCCCATATATCTGCTGCCCTTATCCTTGTAGATGAAAGTGGTCTTGGGTTTGGAAGGTGCTGTCTGAGGATCTTTGGTGAATTTCTGCAATGCACCTTGTAGATAGTACACACTGCCGCAACTGAGCGTCGGTGGTATACGGAGTGGATGTTTGTGGATGTGGTGCCAAACAAGCGGACTTTGTCCTGGATGGTGTCAAGCTTCTTGAGTGTTGTTGGGGCTGCACTCATTCAGGCAAATGGGGAGTATTCCATCACACTCCTGACTTGTGCCTTGTAGATGGTGGACAGGCTTTGAAGAGTCAGGAGGTGAGTTACTTGCCGCAGTATTCCTAGCTTCTAACCTGATCTTGAACATAAGAACTAGGAGCAGGAGTAGGCCGTCTGGCCCTTCGAGCCTGCTCTGCCATTCAATAAGATCATGGCTGATCCCTTCGTGGACTCAGATCCACTTACCTGCGTTCTCACCATATCCCTTAATTCCTTTATTGTTCAAAAAAAATCTACCTTTTTTTTAAAAGTGTTTACTGAAGTAGCGTCAACTACTTCACTGGGCAAGAAATTCCATAGATTAACAACCCTCTGGGTGAAGAAATTCCTTCCCAGTTCAGTAGGTAAAAAGTTCAGAAGTAAAAGACCCATGCAATCCTGTGGGGCAAGGGTTCAAATCCCAGTATAGCAGGCGGTGGAATTTAAATCCAAAAGAACAAAAGTACAAAAGAGAAGTACAGCACAGGAACAGGCCCTTTGGCCCTCCAAGCCCGTGCAGATCATCATGCCCTAACCAAAACTAAAAAACAACCTTCTGCCCTTATTCGGTCCGTATCCCTCTATTCCCTCCCTATTCATGTAACTATCCAGATGCCTCTTAAATGTCGCCAACATGCCTGCTTCCACCACCTCCTCTGGCAGTGTGTTCCAGGCTCCTACCACTCTCTGCATGAAAATCTTCCCTCGCACATCTCCCCTAAACTTTCCCCCTCTCATCTTCACCCTGTGCCCCTTGTAATTGAAACTTCAGCCCTGGGAGAAAGGGTGGATAGTAAGAGACTATTTATGCCTCTCACAACTTAGTAGACCTCCATCAGAAATCCTCTCAGCCGTCTTTCGAGTGAAAACAATCCTAGTTTTTTTAACCTTTCCTCATAGCCAGTGCCCTTGAGACCAGGCAACCTTCTCTGCACTCTTCCCAAAGCTTCCACATCCTTCTGGTGGTGTGGCAACCAAAAATACACACAATACTCCAAATGCAGCCTAACAAGGGTTTTATATAGCTGCAACATGGTTTGCCAACACTTGTACTCCAGGCCCAGGCTGATGAAGGCAGCATATCATGTGCCTTCTTGATCACTTTAGCCACCTGTGTTGCCACTTTTAGGGAACTGTAGATCTGCACACCCAGATCGATCTGTATATTAATGTTCCTAAGGGTTGTGCCATTAACAGTATAATTCACACCTAAATTTGATCCTCCAAAATGCATCACCTCGCATTTGTCTGGATTAAACTCCATCTGCAATTTCTGTGCCCAAGTGGCCAATCTATCTATATCCTGTTGTATCTTTTCACAATCGTTGGCACTATGAGCAACTCCACCAATCTTAGTGCCATCTGCAAACTTACTAATCAGACCACCCAAATTTTCCTCCAGATCATTTATATATATACAAACAACAGAGCACCTAAGACTAATCCCTGTGGAACGCCACTAGTTACCGATCTCCATTCTGAAAAACACCCTTCCACTGCTACCCTCTGTCTTCTATGACCAAGCCAGTTTTGTATCCATCTAGCCAGCCCACCCAGAATCCCATGTGTATTTAGTTTTTTGTACCAATCTGCCATGTGGCACTTTCTCAACTGTCTTGCTAAAGTCCATATAAACTACATCCACAGCCCTTCCATCATTAATTATTTTTGTCACTCCTTCAAAAAATTCAATCAGGTTGATGTGACATGACCTTCCCCATTAAAAACCATGCTGCCTGTCACTAACTAGTCTGTTTTCTTCCAAATGCACATATATCTTGTCCCTCAGTATCTTCTCCAAGAGCTTCCCGACCACAGACGTCAGGCTCACCGACCCATAATTTCCTGGATTATCCCTGATTCCTTTCTTAAACAAGGGAAAAACACTGGCTAATCGCTAGTCCTCTGGGGTCTCACCTGTAGTCAAAGAGGATGTGAAGATATCTGCTAATGCCCCAGCCATTTCTTCCTTTGCCTCTTGCAGCAACCTGGAATAGATCCCGCCTGACCCTGGGAACTTGCCTATTGTAATGCAATTTAGGATAACCAAAACTTCCTCGTTCAATATATTGACATTCACTAGAGTATTCGCACACTCATCCCTGACCTCAACATCAGTCATATCCTTCTCAATGAATACTGATACAAAATTCTCATTAAGGATCTCTCCCATTTCCTGTGGATCCACACATAACTTCCGTCCTTTGTCCTTGAGTGGGCCTACTCTTTCCATTGCTACCCTCTTTCTTCTAATATATGCATAAAAAGCCTTGGGATTCTCCTTGATCCTGTCTGTCAAACACATTTCATGGCTCCTTTTAGCCTTCCCAATTCTGTGTTTAAGTTCCTTACTAATTTCTCTATTCTCCTCAATGGCTTCATCAGTTTGCAGATACCTAGACCTGTCATATGTTTTTTTTTCCTTTTGGCTAAGTTTACAATTTCCTATGTCATTCATGGTTCCTGAATCCTGCCATTCCTATCCTTCAGTTTTGCAGCGACATGCAGGTCCTACACTTTAATCAACTCGGTCTTTAAAAGCCTCCCACATGCTGGACATAGATTTGCCTTCAAGTAACTGCTCCCAAGCCACATTCCCCAGTTCCTGTATAGTGTGGATATAATTGGCTGTTGTCCAATTAAGCACCCTTACCCGAGGGCCACCCTTGTCCTTGTTCACAACTACTTGACATCTTATGGAGTTATGGTCACTAATCCCAAAATGATCTCCTACTGAAACATTGATTACCTGTCCTGGCTCATTCCCTAATACCAAGTCTAGTATGGCCTCCTCTCTGTTTGGATTGTCAACATACTGTCTCAAAAAGCCCTCCTGGACACATCTAACAAATTGCTCTCTATCTGAGCCCCTGGATCTAAGGGAGTCCCAGTCAATAAGAGTCACCCACCACAACTACCCTGCTTTTTTCATACCTTTCCAGTATCTGACTTTATATCTGCTCCTCTGTCTCCCGTGGGCTGTTGGGAGGTCTATAGAAAACTCCCAACATGGTGATTTCACCCTTCCTATTCCTGAGCTCCACCCATAATGCCTCACTGCAAGATCCCTCTGATGTATCGTCCCTCAACACAGCCGTATTGTGATCCCTAATCAACAATGCAGCACCCCCACCCTTTTTGTTTCTCTTTCTGTCCCTTCTAAACCAGCGATATCCGGGAATGTTAAGCTGCCAATCCTGTCCCTCCTTTAACCATGTCTCTGTAATGGCGATAACATCATAATTCCACGCAGTAATCCATGCTCTTAGTTCATCGGACTTACCTGCTATACTTGTTGCATTGATCAAATGCAATCCAGACCTTCAGTCCCTCTGAGACCCGTGACTCCCCTCTGCCTGCTCTTACTCTGCACTATGCATATCTCAGTCTCTCCTTCGTCCCCAGTCTTACCGGCCTGTTGTTCCAGTTCCCACTCCCCTGCCACACAACTTTAAACCCTCCCGAAGAGTTCCAGCAAACCTCCCACCCAGGATATTGGTGCCCCTCCAGTTCAGGTGCAACCCATGCTTCTTGTACATGTCCCACCTTTCACAGAAAACATCCTAATGATCCATATATCTAAAGCCCTCCCTCCTACACCAGCTCTGTAGGCACGTGTTCAATTGAACGCTCTCTCTGTTCCTAGCCTCACTAGCTCGTGGCAGTCCTGCTTGCTTTCCAATTCACAAAATTTGGAATTGAAAGCTAACATCAATTGTGCTGTGGTAGAGACCATACCTTTTATCCAGGAGGCCCAGGTTTAAGTCTCTCCTGCACCAGAGATGTGTTGATATCACCCCTGATCAGGCTGATGAGAAAATACCTACATCATCAATTGTCCTAAATATCCATCAGGTTCACTGATGCCTTGTACAGCAAGCAATCTGCCTCTCTTACCTCCTGTTTGTATGAGCTCAGAAAGACGCTGGTTGATCCTTGTGTGGGCAAGGCCTGCCCACTCAATCATGGAAATACAACAAATTTGGAATAGTGTTTGCAATTCTAGTTTCCCTGCTATAGGAAGGGTTGGTGTCAAACTTGAAAGAGTTCAGGAAAGATTTACAAGGATGTTGCCTGGGTTGGAGGGTTTGAGCTACAGTGAGAGTCTGATTAGGCCGGGGCTATTTTCCCTGGAGCGGCGGAGGCTGAGGGGTGACCTTGCAGAGGTTTATAAAATCATAATGGGCATGGATAGGGTAAATAGACCAGGTCTTTTCCCTGGGGTGGGGGAGTCCAAAACTAGAGGGTATAGGTTTAAGGTGAGAAGGGCAAGATTTAAAAGGGAGCAAAGGGGCAACTTTTTCAGGCAGAGGGTGGTATGGAATGAGCTGCCAGAGGAAGTGGTGGAGGCTGGTACAATTACAACATTTAAAAGACTGGATGGGTAGATGAATAGGAAGGGTTTAGAGGGATACAGACCAAATGGTGACAAATGGGATTAGATTAATTTATGATTTCTGGTTGGCATGGACGAGTTGGACCGAAGGGTCTTTTTCCAAGCTGTACAGCTCTATGACTCTATGATCTAAATCCCATGAAGGAATAAATGGAAATGGAAACTACCTGTAGTGTGAATCCACAAGCAATCTTGATGGCAGTCTCCAGAGTATCCTTGGGCCTGGATCTCCTGCAGCAACACAGTCCAGATGCAAAGTGCTTCCGTAGCTAATATCGACCCTTTGGGGAGAGGATACAGTAATCTTGGCAGTTGCTGAGTGCTTTTGAATGTTTACACTGACTGTCCTCCTGGCAACGCCAACTACATTCGTCGCCAGGCATTCGTAATTTCCCATGTCACGCTCTGACATGCTACGTATGTAAAGGGTCCCGTTTGGGAAAACAAACAGGTTGCCGTTGATAAATTGGGAAGGTCGAATCTGTGTCCCATCGAAAAGGATCCAGCGGATGTTGGCTGGGGGTGCAGCTTTGGCAGTGCAGTGAACACGAATGCCCTGGCCCAGGGTGACTGTCAGGCTCTCGGTCTTTTCTTGTTGGATCATGGGTGGCAGAGCTGCCACGTGAAGCCTCACCGTGACCGTGTCTGCTCCCACGGCGTTGCTGGCGATGCACTTGTAGACCCCACGGTCTGAGAATGCGGTCTCCCTGATGGACAGGGTCCCATTCTGCGACAACGTCAAGCTGCCTCCTCCTCTTCCGCCGACGCCGGGGGTCCGCAGGAGCTTCCTGCTAGGCAGCAGCCAGGAGACCTGGGGAGCAGGCATCCCCTCGGCCCTGCACTCCGCCAGGAATGGTTCTCCCAGATACACGGTGCTGTCCTTGTAGCGGGATCCAACTATCCGCGGAGGCTGGGCCAGCACGATCAACGTGGTCGCCATCTTATCTGTGCCGTGTAGGGACTGTGCTGTGCACAGGTACTGTCCACGGTCCTGCACTTGGACATTGCGAATTCCCAAGGTTCCATTGTCAAAAACTTCAAATCGCAGCGTTCTGCTGCTTGTCATCATCACAGCTCCTGGGGAAAATAAAAACAGGAGAATTTTAATATTGACCAACTTAATTTCAGCCATAGAATTAGCAAGGATGTTATTCTTTTGCAGAACTTATGACATAGAATAGGAGCAGACACTTTTAGCCCTTCAAGTGTGCTCCACCATTCGCAATGATCATCCAATTCCATTACTAGTTCTGTTTCTCCCCCATATCCTATGAATCCTTTAGCCTCAGTGATATATCCAATTCCTTCTTGATATCATACAACTGCTTTCTATGCTATCAAATTCAACAGGCTCACTATAGAATCTCTGCAGCGTGGAAGCAGGCCATTTGGCCCATCAAGTCCACACTCACCCTCTGAAGAGCATCCCATCCAAACCCATCCCCCTACCCTATCCCTGTATCCCTGCATTCCCCATGGCTAAACCACCTAGCCTGCAATCCCTGGACACTATGAGCAATTTAGCATGGCCAATGCACCTACCCTGCACATGTTTGGGCTGTGGGAGGGAACCGGAGCACCTGGAGGAAAACCACACAGACACAGGGAGAATGTGCAAACTCCACACAGTCGCCCAAGGCTGGAATAGATCCTGGGTCTCTGGCACTGTGAGGCAGCAGTGCTAACCACTGAGCCTACTCACTGGGTGATGAAATTTCTCCTCATCTCAGTCCTAAATGGTTTTCCCCTGTATTCTTAGACTGTGACCCCTGGTTCTGGACTCCCTGTTGTAGGAACATTCTTCCTGCACTCATCCTGTCTAGTCCTCTTAGACATCACAGGTTATTGAATCATTTACTTATTTTGCACATATTTGGATCATTGAGTCCAAACTCTACAGCCTTTTGGAGTAAATGATTCCTCAGTTCCACTACCCTCTGAGAGAAGAAATTTGTCTTCATCTCTGTCTATATGGGTGACCTCTTATTCTGATATTATACCCTTTGGTTCTAGACTGTCCTGCAAGGGAAAGCAAACTATCCACACCTATCCTGTCAAACCTCAAAAGAAGAGAGATAACAAGGTGTAGAGCTGGATGAACACAGCAGGCCAAGCAGCATCATAGGAGCAGGAAGGCTGACGTTTCGGGCCTAGACCCTTCTGACATGACAGTGTTGGACAGGCAGGTGGATGATAAAACACCAACATTTGCAACCACATGGTGGCAGTAGTTTGTACCTTTAATAGGCACTCAGCGATTCGCTGAGGTTCTCTGATAGCAGCTGCCAAACTGACGACTTGCAACACCTAGAAAACCAAGAGCAGCAGAGGCATGGGAACACCACTGCCAGCAGGTTCCCCTTCAATGTACCCACCACCTTGACTTGGAACTACATGGTTATCACTGAATGATAGAACTGTTATGGTATAGATTGAGGCCATTCAGTTCATCATATCTGCTCTCGGTCTCGGAATGCACATCCTTTCCCCAGGACCCTGCATATTGTCTATCTAATATTCATCTAATGCCCTCTTAAACGCCTCAATTAAATCTCCTTCCACCACACATCCAGCCAATCTATTTCAAACCCTTAGTACTTGCCGTGTAAATGACGCTTTTTTTCTCACATTACACTTGTTTTTTTGCAAATTTATTTAAATCTGCACCCTTTTGTTCCTGATCCTTTTACAAATGGGAACAGTTTCTTTCAACGTACTCTACCCAGATCCCTCATGACTTCAAAACCTTCAATCAAATCTTACCCTTCACCTCTCCAATGAAAGCACTATGGCCAACTGCTCCAAACTATCTTCAAAACTGAAGTCTCTCAATGCTGGAACCATTCTTGTGAATCTCTTCTGCATTTTTCTGATGCATTCACATCCTCCCTAAAGTAGGGCACCCAGAATTACATGCAGTTCTCCAGCTAAGCACTAACTAGCATCTTACACGCCTCATGTTCTTGTGCTCTATTGCTTCTCTATTGCTTCACTGTTGGTGGGTCAAACTTCTGGAATTCCCCTGTGGTTGTGGTCGCACCTACAGCACCTGGGCTGCAGGAGCTCAAGAAGGCAACTCACCACCATCTTCTCAAGAGCAATTAGGGATGGGCAACAAATGCTGATCTAGCTAGCAATGATCAGATTCCATTGAAGAATATCTCTTGAAAAAACCCTGCATAGATGTTTAATTGGCAACATTAGCATCTAACATTAACGTCAATAACTGCTGAGTCCTTCTGACATGTTCCAGACCCATGTCTTGTAGATGATGGACAAGTTTTGGGGAACCAGGAGGTGCTTTACTCATCTCAGAACTCACAGCCTCTGACCTGCTCTTGTAGTCACCAAAAAATGTCTCAATTCTATATGTAAATATGGCTGGTCCAGTTCAGTTTTTCAATGGTAACTCCCAGAATATTGATCTTTGTCATGGAAAGGTATGGTGAGTGATTGTGGCCCCAACTCCAGTTCTGGTGCAGGACCAGCAGTATATCCTGCCAATTAGTGTAACTCCCTTTCTCTATACAATTTGTCTTCTGTTACTCAGCTCAGTCTTAATCAGGTCAATAGTTTGTTTTCAATTCCATGAGTTTCAATTTTAGCTAACAATCTCACATGATTAGGGGTGGCATGGTGGCTCAGTGGTTAGCACTGCTGCCTCACAGTGCCAGGGACTCAGGTTCAAATCCATAGGCATTGGATCAGAAATTAGGCCATTCAGCCCACCGAGACTGCTCCGCCATTCAATCATGGCTGATAAGTTCCTCAACCCCATTCTCCTGCTTTCTCCCCGTAACTCTTGATCCCCTTGATAATCAAAAACCTTCATTCAAATCCAGCCTCAGCTGACTGTTTGTGTGGAGTTTGCATATTTTCCCCATGTCTGCGAGCGTTCCCTCTCACTGCCCAAAGATGTTGGGTGGATTGGCCGTGAAAAATTGCTCTGCAGTGTACAGGGATCTATAGGCAAGGTGGATTAACCATGGTAAATGCAGGGTTATAGGGATAGGGTACGGGGATGTGTTTGGGTGGGATGTTGTTCAGAGGGGTGGGTGACATCAATGGGCTGTATGGCCTGTTTCCAAGCTGTAGTGATTCTATGATCCAACATCTGGGGATCCATGTAGATAATGTCTATTGACCTTGTGCAATGTTAAGTAACTACAGTCACTTACATAGCCCTTATGACAATCCAACATACTTCATGAACAACGAATGGCAATTTAAAGGTTATAAAGTCACGATGAGTGCGTGAAGTCATGATAACTCCAAATTGTGCCATAGAATATTTTCAAATCTGCTTGAGCGTTTCACTGAGAGTTCTGCACCTGATAACACAGCACTCCCTCAATTCTAGCCTCAATTATGTCTATCGCTGGGCTTAAATCCAGGCCAACTTTGTCTCAGAAGTTCATGTTCTACCACAAAACTGAGGTTTGCCAAACTTTCAGAATTGCCCTGTAGTTCCCTGGAAGGAATGACCAAACTCCAGGACACTGCTTTCTGGGTCGTTGGAGGGAGAAAAAAATCACAGAATCCCTACAGTGCAGATAAGGGCCATTTTGTTAAGTGAGTATGCACCAACCCTCTGAAAAGCATTCACCACTCCCCCCAGCACCCCATCCTGTAGTTTATCAAGTTAACCCACCTAGCCTGTACACTGCATGGCCAATCCACCTAACCTGCACATTGTTGGACTGTGGGAGGAAACCCACACAGACACAAGGACAATGTGTAAACTCCACACAGGCAGTCACCCAAGGGTGGAATTGAACCTGGGTCCCTGGCACTGTGAGGCAGTAGTGCCTAACCACTGAGCCAACGTGCCATCCAGAGAACAGGAAAATGTTTATTTCAAGTAATAGCTCAGTGCATTTTCATTTATTAGCCCTAAAATTATTGAAGATGCAATTAAAGACAGGATAGTCAACCACCTAATCAAGTAATGAAGCAACCATTAGATGTTACATGGGAATCTGTTGCACAACAAGTCTGGCTATCATAGCTAATTAATGGCTACTGATGCCTGGACTTTAGGGGTTAAGTTATGAGGAGAGATTATACAAATTAGGCCTGTTTTTTCTGGAATTTAGAAGGTTAAGAGTGATCTGAACCAAGTATTCAAGATATTAACAGGCAAAGACAGGGTAGATAAACTATTTCCACTGGTTGGGGATTCTAGAGCTAGGGGAAATAGTTTACATATTAGATGCAGACCATTCAAGAGAGATGTTAGGAAGCACTTCTACACACAAAGGGTGATAGAGGTTTGGAACTCTCTTCCACAAATGGCAGTAATGCTGGGTCAGTTGTTAATTTTAAATTTGAGATTGATAAACTCTTGTTAAGCAAAGGTGTTAAGGAATATGGGCCAAAGGCAGATAAATGTAGTTAGGTCACACGTCAGCCATGATTTCATTGAGTGGTGGAACAGGTTTGAAGGGCTGAATGGCCTCCTCCTCTTCCTATGCATAGTATGAGAATGGGGCAGTTAGCTACAGGAGGTCACATGTTGATACCCAGGAACATATTAGGCTCCATATTGATAACCCCATATTGAATTAACATGACACTTGTACTAAAGGAATGTGGGATTGTATTGAGGAAATGCCTTGATTAGAGTACAGCATGAAAACAGACCTTAGTGCAACTTGCCGACCAGATATCCTAAAATAACCTAGTCCAATTTGGCCAGCATTTGACCCATATCCCTCTAAGCCCTTCCTATTCATGTACCTATTCAGATGCCTTCTAAATGTTATAATTGTACCAGCCTCCACCACTTCCTCTGGCAGCTCATTCCATACACACACCAAAGTTGCCTCTCAGGTTCCTTTTAAATCCTTCCCTTTCACCTAAAACCTTTGCAAGTTGACACCAGTGTTGCTGAATAATTAGAGACATCAAGTTTTTACTTCCTTTTTTTAAAAGTTTACTGACTGCAAGGCAGTACAGTAATGGAAGACAAATACTGCGGATGCTAAAAATCTGAAATAGAAACAGAAAATTTTGGAGACATTCCACATGTCTGGCAGCACCCATAGAGAGAGAAACAGAGTTAACATTTTGAGTCCAGTATGACACTTCTTCAGAAGCAGAGTCACAGTGATACAAAACATTAACTCTGTTTTTCTCTCCACAGATGCTGGTGGACCTTCTAAGTTTCTCCAGCATGTTTCTTGGATTTTATTTAAGGCTGTATAATCATTGTGAGTCTCTTACCTGTTGAAACTTTTGTCCAAAATATAAAAGGCTTGGGCTCCCCAACTGCATCGCAAGGAAGATAAGCATCCATCTCTGCTTTCACTGAAACTGTTAGAGGGTGCCTGGTTATAATTTTCGGCTTTCTCTTCATTGTCCTGAAACTGGGAGATGGTTGAGCAGCATTGGATGAGTTCCCATCGAACTTTGAAAGGACTGGGGTGTGAAACAAAAATTTGCTCCATGAGGTGTTTCTAAACTTTTCAGCAATGTTAGTTGTGCTGGGTACAGTTGTAGGGGAACTAATGGATATGGTTCTTTTGGGTATAGATCCTGATGATTTCTTTTTAGTAAATTGAATTGGGATCTCTATACGGTGATGCCATTGGTTACCTTGATTTGTGGTAGGTGTTCGGACAATGGAACGTCCTGATGGTGTTTTTGAATTGTTGTCTACATCAGCACCTCCCCTCTCCATTGGCTTGTTAAATATCCCTGAACTTGTTTGGAAAGGGGTTCCTGAAGTTGACTTGATAAAAGGTTCGTCGGGTTTTATTGCATTTTGCACTGTTATAGGTGGAAATGCTGTCAACTCAGGATCACCAGTAACTCTTGACAATGCTCCATTTGTAAAATTGTAGGACCAAGCCCTTGCTGCAGGTGTGAGCAGCTTCGGTGTTGCTTCTACCATGATATCATTCGGAGATTTAAGCCTAGACCCTTGCTTTGGAATGGAAATTGAGCCAAGATTTGAATCTGGATTCCACTTATGCTTTGAAAGCCAAGTTAAGTTATTTGATCGTTCCATGAATGTTGCTTTAACTTGTTGCTTGCCTTGTGCGGTTCCTGTACGTTGTCTTATAGGGTCTCCATCTGGTTTATTATTGCTTTCATATGTTCTGTTGATTTCCAGTTGAATTTCTCCCATCCCAAAAGTTTTCTGAGTGGGCAAAATACTTTCTGGAGAAATAGTTGGAGGCAGAATTTCTTTGGCCATTTTAACTGTGACTTGAGAAGGCAAAGTAGGCTCCCGTCTTAAGTTTATATTGGTCGGTTGGGCCTCTGGCACAATATTAACTGTTGCTGTTCCATACACAGGAACATCTGAGTCATGAACTCGTGAAGGAGCTCTAGTGTCAGGTGAAGAAGGTAGATTTGATGTAATGTCACTTCCAATTTTTTGAAATGTGGATATTTTCTGAGACATTTCAACCTCCGGTAATTCAGTCTCAGTTTCTAAAAATGTCATGGTTGGTACTTTCAGCTCAGTGTTTGACTTTAGAGTTTTCTTGGATCCCTGTACTTTAGAAGCAGTGGTCGTAGTTAATATTTCAAGGTAGTCCATTGCAGGTTTTGAAGTCACAGTAACAGTTGTAGCAATTGGAAGGACTGTCATTGGGACTATTGGATTTAAGATGATATCTGATGATTTTCTGGTTTCATGGACTCCCTTTAATTTCCCAGATCTGACTGAAACAACTGAAGTTGAGGCTGTTGTGGTTGATGCAAGTTCATTACTTGGCCCCAGAGATTCAAATTGAGAAGCAGGATTTGTAGGTTTTCCAAATGTATTGGATATTAGAGGTGATACGGTTGTAGCATCAAGTTTTGTAGCATTGTGCAACTTATAATCCTTTTGGAGATACAATGGTTTTGTTGGTTTGGTTAAAGATTCACGATTGGTTGGACCTGGCTCAGGAAGTTTTGTGGAAGTGGCTCTTGTAGTTTCAAGTATTGTCTGTTTTGTTGAAATTAATGATTTTGGTTGATGTGACACTGAAGTCTGTGGCCCTGGAGTAATAGGTGCTTCTGAATGGTTGGTTTGATGTGAAGATTTTACAATAGTCACTACATTCATTGATTTTAGTTTTGGTTCCTTTGTTGTGAGTTGTTCTAAAGCAGGCAAATTGAATTTGCCAGAAGCTAATTTTGAATCTGGTTCCCTTTTTAATGTAATGTTGACTTTGATTTGGCCATTTTCAGAATGATTCATTTCTCTTGGAACAGCTTTCACACTTGACCAAGTGCTTGATGTCATATTTACGCGGGTAGATTTTGTTTCTTTGGTCCTGGTTATTGGGTATAAATGTTGTCTTTGCCTGTACCTGTTAGGCCGATATCTCCTTCTGCCAGGCAGTCTTCGCTTTGGATAGTTTCGAGAAGTAATAGAGGTATTTTGGCTTTGGCTAGCCCTGGCATTGGCATTCACAGTACCAGTTGGCTTTACCATCATCTTGGGCACTTTGGTTTTCCCGGTAGTTGCTTTGACTGTAGCGGTGGGAGGAATGGTAGCAGCGACTGTGATGAGAGCTGGTTTGGTTATGGTGCTGGGGACCATGGTTGTAATGGCAGTTGGTCTCGTAGTGGGGGCCAATTTGGCAGTTGTTCCAGAATTTGTTGAGGGGATGGAGGCTCTGGTGATTGTTGAAGTGGCTTTGGTCATGGTTAAAGTGGTAACTGTTTTGCTCGCTAAGGTCACATTTCCGATGTGAAACATACTGTAATTATCACTGTTCAAGTTTATATCTGAAATATCCATTTTCGAGTGCTTCCAAGCAAGTCTCTTTACTGGATCTGTAACTGCTTCAGTGATCCAAGGTACTGCTGATCTCTCATGTCCATCTGTTTTTGAAGCCTGAGAATTGCTTTCTATGACAGATACATCATCATCTTTTGGATACTCCTGAATTGGCTGCATTCCAATCACTTCCGCTGTTGACTGAATACTACCCTGTTCCAAAGCTGTTGTTGTGGTTTTTGGCATTTCCCAAATCTCTGACTCATTCCCCGGCTTTGAAAGGAACTTGGCTAGAGTGTCAAACTCAGTGGCGTTTTTGAGAACAGAACCAGGATCCTTAAACGTTTGGTTTCTCAGGGAATTGTTAAGGCTGGTGTTCTCTGGTGGATCGTAATCTTTCGCTATCACACTATGATGTGAGCTTACTTGTATCAATTGATCCTCTGAAAAATTCAGATCATTATTTCCTGATGATTCCTCCAGACCCGACTCCTCTTCTGAGACCAGCTTGAAACTTTCTGGGCGATTCACTGCCAAAGGATTTCTTTGGGTTCCATTCGTAGCTGGAGTGATGGTAGTCGATTTGTAGATTTTGAGTAAAGGTTTTGCTGTTACTTTAGGAGCAGTTTTTGCCCTCACCTTTGCCAGGATGTCTGCCCACTTCAGTGGGTCAATCTTTTTATTGGACATACTGACCCTCCTACGTGAATCCCATCGCCTCCTGCCATCGAGGGTTGTCTTCCCCCTGCCCCATTGTGACCCCTGCCTTACTTTGATGCTCCTACTGGATTCGGTTCGGGGACGGTCATGCGTGTCATCAGCATGAAGTCGTTTACGTCCAACTAGAATTCTGCCAGTGTATTTGTTGTAGGTTACCTGCTTCTGACTTTCATATGCTGTCCCTTTACCTGAACCATCCTGTTCCTCAGCCTCTGGATCACCCCTTCTGAAAAAGACATTGAGAATTGGCATTGTATGGTCTTTCTTCCCCTTTTTGATGGTCCGGCCATGCAACTTTTTAATGACAGCCACATTAACAGTCAGCGAATCGACTCCATAAGTGTTGACGGCTAGACACCTGTAGTGGCCACTATTGCTAACCTGGCTAGTTTTAATGACTAGAGTTCCATTTTCCATTATAGATCCACTCGTAGTGTTTGTTAAGCCACTGAGGACATTGTTATTTGGCAGGATCCAACTCAGTTGAGCATTTGGTGCTGCAGTGGCAGTGCAGGGCAGAGAGATGGTATCTCCCGAATGTACAGTGATGCCATTTTCTTCGACTTGGCTTGGATGGACTCTTGTGGGTTGCACAACAACCCGATAGGTCATTGCATCCGTATCACCTTTCACTGACGCGATGCACTGATATAAACCTGAATCGCCATAACCCACTGCCTTCACTATTAACTTGCCAGCTTTGGAGATGGAAACACGGTTATCTTCACTAGTGTATGGGGCTTCCATATGGGTGCCATTTGGAAATGCCCATTTTATAGATGGGCTCCCTGAGGCAGTGACTGGACAGTTTAACTGCAGCATAGTCCCTGTGACTAAAACATGATGCATCTTTATCCCATCATTGTCCTTTATTAATACCCAGCTATTCTCACTTTTTGGGCTGTCACTGATTTGAAAGCGTTGAGACAGAAACATTGAGAACACGAGGACGACATGGTCTGTCGTTGTTTGCCTTCTGTCAAGTTGGATATTGATGTGCCGCTGCATTAACCATGAGGGCTCAGTCATAATATTCGCTCTTACACCAGTGTAATAGTAAGCGTGATCATCAATGACTTGTTTATATCGATAGCTCAGGTTGGGTTCTTTGGACAGCATTAAGTCTCTTTCTAATTTTGCAGGCATTTCACTGTAATAAGCAATAAGTTTCCACAACCTTTCCATCTTTTGTTGATCCATATAGCATGTAAGGGTTACTGAAAGGGTCATATTGACAGCAACTTCCTGCTGATTTAGACGATGCCATTGAATCTTCGTACCGTTCCTCAGCCTGTTGGATTGACAGACCAAATGGTTGTGGTTTCCTTGCTGGTCCGTTAAGTTCAAAGTCATACTGCCAAATGGATTTTGGTAGCTTTGATTCAATATATCTTCACCTTCATCTTCCCATTCACTGTTGTTGCTCTTCTTCAGTGGGGATATGATTGTGGGCTTCATACAAGTGAAGGCATTGGAATTCAACTTGAAAAGCTCTTTTTTGGTGAATTGTTTGGGTTCAGAGCACAGAGAGCATACTCGGCCTCCTGGATACATTCTGTCCTTTTTACATTTAACAACACCTGTGAATAGGAAGAAAAGACCCATCACTGAATTTGATAAAAGGGAAAACTGGAGAGTGCCAATTCCAGAATTCTTTTTAAGAGCAAAGGTCATTTTTTCTTTTCTTCTGCAAAAAAGACCCTGAACTTCCAGTTGCCTGCCACTTCAACACATCACTCTGTTCCCTGGCCAACATCTCTGTCTCAGGCTTGCTACCGTGCTCCAGCTAAACTCAGCATAAGCTGGAATAACAGCACTTAATTTTCCACTTGGGGACCCTGCAGCTTTCATGACTCAATATTGAGTTCAATAACGTTAGAGCATGAGCTCTCTCACATCTTTACCCCAACCGCCACACACCAGGCCTTGTTTTCACATAAACTACTATTAACAACCCATTGTTAGTCACTAACAGTCCTCATTAATAGCTATTCACCCTCCCAGCTAGATCATTATTCATTCCTGTGTCTGTCCAACTGCTCTTCTCTCTCTTTGGTCTCTTATCTCCAGCTATTGTTCACTCCTTATCCCCTTCCCCTACCCTTTCTTCTGCATATAAACTGACATTTTCCCAACTACCATCAGTTCTGAGGAAGGGTCACTCGACCTGAAACATTAACTCTGATTTCTGTCCAAAGATGCTGCCAGACCTGCTGAGCTTTTCCAGAAACTTCTGTTTTTGTTTCTGATTTCCATCATCCGCAATTCTTTTAGTTGGCATTTTTCTTTTCTTTTACCAGTTCCTACTTTTCTTTCCTTCTCCTTTGAGTGTGTGGAGAGCTAATCAGTCAGCCACTTCCCTTTGGCTAACAAGGTGTGGAGCTGGAGGAACACAGCAGGCCAGGCAGCATCAGAGGAGCAAGAAAGCTGACATTTCAGGTCTGGGCCCTTTCCTGAAGAAGGGTCCAAACCCGAAATGTCAGCTTTCTCGCTCCTCTGATGCTGGCTGGCCTGCTGTGTTCCTCCAGCTCCACACCGTGTTATCTCAGACTCCAGCATCGGCAGTTCCTACTACCTCCCTTTGGCTGGTGATTTTACTTCTGACGATCCCATTTCCAGGACTTTCCCTTGGCAGAGGGAAGAGCCATTGGACTTTCCTCTCAACACTTCCTACCACTGTTTTGTGAGCCCTCCCGCCTCCCAGCCTGTGCGGTGTTTGGCAGAGATGGATAGGTGACGATCATTCAGTCCCTCAAAGCTGTCTATTCCATTTGACCCAGAACCTAGTTGTATCTATACACCTTTACTCCATACCCTTTCATACACTTAACCAACTAAAATCTACCAATCTCCCTTTCAAAAGGCCCAGATAGTTCACGTTTTGTATGAACATGTGCTTCTTCGCTTCAACCCCGGACAGTCTCTTTCTAATTTAATATCGATTAATTTATACACTCCACCACCAAACTAACACCACTCCACTAATTAGTTGCTCAGTCACCCTGAACATTGCAATACGATGAGTTTGCTATTCAGACACTTGCAATGGAATGTCCCCTTTCCTGGAGTTTGCAAGAGAGATGCAGAAAAGGGGAAATAATGGGGTGATTTGGCCCTGGAGAGGTGTTTGCATCCTTCTCACCATCTCAGCAATGAGTTTCTGCAGAAGGATTTCTGCTGGAGGCAACTTTCTCAACCTGTCACTAATTAAAGCCCTGAAAAGGTCAACTAAGGCTCACTTGAACACCTCAACTCACCTTTTCCCTGATGACCTACCTTGCCAGAGGTGAGAAGGATAGCTGTGTTCCCAACTGGGAAAACAGGGTAACTGGCCTTCAAATTCTCTAACTTCCCCAACCCGGGGTCAACTGGAGATATGGATGATGAGTCAGGGGATTAGCCTCTGAAAGCCACCTCTCCTGCCCTTGTCTTCGACACTCTCTTGACACCTCCCCAAAATAACACTTTATCTCATGACAAGAAGGAAAAGAAACTGTACTTCTCGCTGTTGGTGGTACCTGAGTTAGGTCTTGACTGACACCTTCATGAGGTAGACACTGCTGGCCTCTGATTTGCTGGCAGCTCCTGTTGACCTGGGACACCAGTGTCAAAGCCTGTGTTTGGTCAGAAACTCACCTTTGCTCACCTGTCAGCTCTTCATGAGCCCATTGGTGAGCTGATGGCATCATGGCATTATTATTAGGCTATTAATCCAGAGACCCAGGTAATGTTCTGGGGAGTTGGATTCAAATTCTGACCATGGCAGATGTCAAAACTTGCATTTAATGGAAAAATGAATGAATTAAGAGTCCAGTGATGACCCTAGAACCATTATCAATTGTCATGAAAACCTGTCAAGTTTTGTTTAGAGAAGGAATACAGTTACCCTACATGTGACTCCTACAGGATTGACTCTTGACTGTTCTGTGGGAATTTAGGGATGGGCAATCAATACTGGTCCACGTTAGTGATGCCTCTGTGAATGAACAAACAATGGTGTACGATTGGGTGAGCTCTCTCACTTCACATGCTCACCCCTGCACTCTTTGATCACCACTTTTTGTGTTGCTGGACTGTGATCACTTCATGTGGAAGCACCAGATAGTTCAGACTTTGCTTGATGATAAGACCAGGGCAGGACACCCAGGCCCAGGCTATCACTGTTTGACAGTGGGACGTTTCCTGGCACGGGCCTTGGTTGAGGGAATGGATCAATAGAATAGAATCCCTACAGTGTGGAAACAGGCCCTTCAGCCCAGCAAGTCCACACCAACCCTCAGAGCGTCCCATCCAGACCCATCCCCCTATAAACCACCTAATCTACACATCCCTGAACACTGTGGGCAATTTAGCATGGCCGATCCACCTAACCTGCACATCTTTGGACTGTGGGAGGAAACTGGAGCACCCGAAGGAAACCCACGCAGACACAGGGAGAATGTGCAAACTCCACACAGGCAGTCACCCGAGGCTGGAATCAAACCCGGGTCCCTGGCGCTGTGAGGCAGCAGCGCTAACCACTGAGCCACCCATTGTCTGGCATGTTAGCAGAGGGCATTAGAGACAGTTAATTTAAGGTGTGCTTTCCTTAGGAGTGTCTGATCACCTGGAATTAAGAGCCCAGGCATAGTGAGAGATACCAGCCAACCAGAAGCTAGCACCTCTAGTGTTCAGCAGTGCCACTGAGGAAGTTGTGGCTGCTACCAGAACTGCACCCTGCAATCAGGGAGTTTAAGTGAATCATGGGTGGTGCTGGTGGTAGGTGGGGTGTTGTGTTTTGATAGCGGGGCCCAGGCCATTTGGAAGAGAGAGCTTTGGGGATGACACTGTCCAATGCCCACTCTCTCAAGCGGGCTCCGATTGCCTTAGTCCTTGTCACAGCAAGCTGTGGAGAGGTAGAGTCCTTAAGTATATTTACGCCTGAGATAGATACATTCTTAATCACTAGAGGAATCAAGGATTACAGGGAAAGGACAGGAAAGTGAATGTGAGCAGTGTTGGATCAGCCATGATCCTATTGATTGCCAGAGCAAACTCAAGGGGCCGAATGGTCCACTCCTGTCCCTATTATGGTCTTATGGTCAAAGACATGATGCTCCAATATCCCTTCCCCTCCCATACAATGGGCTGCCCCCACAAATTGACCTATTGGGCTTGCCGCATCACATTTACAGCTGAGTTAATTCTGGCATTGGTGGACTGAGCTCATTTTAGATTCCTAAGTGGGCACCTAAAGGCCTCACTTGGTGGCAAGACAGGATGGCTGATCATGGGCCTGCCCCTTAACTACATTGCAGTGGCATCAAGAAGGTGGTGGGTCTGTGTACACCACCAACCCACCTCATAAAGTGCCCATCACTCCAGCCTTGCCACCTCCCGTATAGCAATTTCCCTCAAGTGACTGCAGAGATACTTAAACCACTGCAAATAAAAAGTTCTTGCATGTTGACGATCTCTGCAGAGCCAGAAGGAAAATCAAACATGAATAATACACAACACACCTCATCCAGGATTGAAATTGGGGGTTTCTCCAATTCCAGCACTGCCAATCCTCACCTTGGTAAAGAAACAGAAGGTAACAATAACATCTACATTCCTACTTAGTGTAAAGTCACTGATTACCTCTAGCCTCTTTCTGCCAGTCCAGGAGCCACTTTAACCTGCAGTCACATGACCACGGATTCCCATGGAGGTAGACGCTTTCCAGTTCGGACATTGAATGGAATATGTCTTTGGGCAGTGTTTGAATGAGGTTTTCAGAGAGGTAGAGGTGCTTTATTGATGAAAACGTAAAATGCTGTAGAAACGAGAATGTCACAAAGGTGCGTGGATGGATTTGCCTCAACAGGTTCGCTTCAAGATGGATGAGTTTCAGAGAGGTCAGTCCATGGAAAGCATCCGGTTGAATGAACTCAATCTTATTGTGGTCTAAGTGCAAGCGTACTAAATTCACCAGTCCCTGAAATGTCCACCCTTTTATGGAACTCAGTTTATTGTAGCTTATTTTAAGTACCTAAAAGAGAAAGATAATTAGGTTCAACAATAAGGGGCGATTCATAAAAAGATTAAATTGGTTCAGCATGAAGATGGATGTATACCAAAGCACAATATTAATGAGAAACACATGCATAACTATCTCAGGCCATTGAGACGGCTGTTCCTGTGATGGCCACACAGAGATTTACTCGACTTTATTGGATCATCTTGGGAGGTTTGAGGGGCTAAAGGGGACAGAGGAAGGAAGTATTAGAGAGAAAAGACACTAACAGGGATCTGGAAAAGGTTAATCACAAGGAGCTAACTGAACAGAATGCAGGGAACAAGTGAATACCTGTCTTCTGTCTAAAACATGAGAACATAAGAATTAGCAGCAGGAGTGGACAATTCAGCCTGCTCTATCATATAATACAATCATGGCTGATCTCATCTCAGCCTCAACTCCACTTTCCTGCCTGTTCCCCATAAGCCTTCAACCCGCTACTAATTAAACAATTGTCTATCTCCTTCTTAAATTTCCTCAATGCACCACACACTGGGGTAATGAATTCCACAGAATTCATGATTATTTGAGGGAAGTAATTTCTCCTCATCTCTGTTTTAAATCTGCCACCCTTGTATCCTGAAACTGTGACCTCTGTCTCTAGACTGCCTCACAAGAGGAATCATCTATTTATCTTTGACTGTTAGGATGTTTTTCTTAGATTCCAAAGGATTCCCCAGTGATTAGAAAGTAGTAAATCTAATCTTGCTATTCCAGAAAAAGAGGATGAAAGGCAACACAAAATTAAGGTCAGTTATTCTAATATCAGAATCTAATATCTAATAGAGTAGGGTCTGTGGTAACACAATACTATTAAATGCAAATATGATTGGGGTAGAGTCAACGAAAAGGGTTGGGTCAGTGAGGAATTATGACAAAGGCTATGTCTGTTGGAGACTTTTTGAGTTTGATCCTAGCAGGGTCAATGAGGAGGGACCATTAAATGCAGTGCATTCAGATTTTCGAAAGAAAATGATAAGGTGCCACACAGGAGTTATTCCACAAAATTGGGGATCATGAGAGGAGAGGTAACCTTTCAGCATGGACTGGGGTTGATTAATGGACAGAAAAAAAAAGATTAAGAATAAATGAGTTATTTCCACATTATACTCATTGACTCACTTCAGGGCCCTGATCAATGAATGTTTTAATTTTAAAACGCTTACCTTGTTGTCAAAAGTCCCTCCATTCCCTGCCCCTCCCAATTTTCTAATCTCCTCCAGCTGCTCAGTCCTACAAGACATCAGCATTGCTCTAATTCTGGCTGTGTCCTTTAGGGCAGGAAATTGCCATCCTTACCTTGTCTGGCCTACATGTGACGCCAGACCCATAGCAATGTGGTTGACTCTTAACTTCCCTCTGGGCAATTAAGGGTGGGTAATAAATGCTGGCCTAGTCAGTGATGCCCTCATCCCGTGAATGAATAAAAAAAATTCCCAATTATAATGCTCCACCATTGACAGCTTTGCCATCATCTGCCTAAATCCCAAGCTCTGGGTATTCCCTGTCCATTTTCTTGCCTCTGAACCACTTTACACCTTAAAGACATTCATTAAACCTACATCATTTAAGAAGATTTTTCTCATTTGTCCTATTATCTCCACCTCTGATTCAATGTCATGAATTGTTTTAGTTTGTTTCAGTGGAGTGCCTTGCCATAATTTATGATTTGAAATGAGCTATATAAAGAAATTGTTATTGTTGGGAGGCCAGTGAGGTATCTTAAATATCAGTACTTAGACCTCAGCTATTAGCAATCTATTTCAATGTTGTAGATTAAGGGACATGAAGGGAAAATTCTGCGGATGCTGAGAGGTCTGAAATGAAAGCAGCAAATACTCAGCAGATTGGGCAGTGTCTATTCAGAAAGAAACTGAGTTAATGCTTCAGGTCACCCAGGAGAGCAGGAAAGAGAAAAGGTGGTGTTAAGTAAAGAGATTGTGTAGTAGAAGGAAAAACAAGGGGCATAGAAAGCAAGTTTCTTCGATATGGAAGTTGCAGTGCACCAGTGTAGACGCTGCCACTTCAATATTGTTGAAAAGGAATCATCAGGTGAATAGCCACAGTCCTGGAGTCATACAGCATGGAAACAGACCCTTCGGTTCAACTGATCCACACCAACCAAGTTTCTAAATGTAAACTAGTCCCACTTGCCTGTGTTTGGCCCACATCCCTCTAAACCTCTATTAGTGTATCTGTCCAAATGTCTTTTAAATGTTGAAACTGCACTTGCATCTATCACTTCCTCTGGCAGTTCATTACATATACAATCCACCCTCTGAGTGAAAATGTTGCCCCTCAGGCCCCGTTTAAATCTTTCTCATCTTCACCTTAAAATTATGCCCTCTAGTTTTGGATTCCCCTACCCAAGGGAAAAGACCTTTGTTTTTCACATTATCTATGCCCTTCATGATTTTATAAACCTCGCTAAGGTCACCTTCAATCTCCTACACTCCAGGGAATAAAATGCCAACCTATCTAACCTCTCCTTATAACTCAAATCCTCCAGTCCCAGGTATGTTGATCAAAAATCTCTGGCACAACTTGGTCAACAACCAATATTTGGACCATCAACCCAATTTCCAAGAGAGAAGAATATGTGACTGAATAGCTGGTCTTCACTCAAATGTCCTTCCAAGCCTTGTCTGGTTTAACATGTATTTGTGGCATTAATCCTCGTACAGAGATAAAAATAAAAGCACAAGTTCAATGTTAAATGCATGTGATAATTTAAGCATCTATTTCCAGGAAGTAAGCACTTGCCTGCAACGAGTGCAAACTTTTAAAAGTTCCATCGATAAGCGTGTGGATGTCATTGCCATGCAGCATCAGAAGCTCCAGCTTTTCCAGTCCATGAAAAGAAGTATTGCTCACAGATTGGATATTGTTAAAGCTGCAAGAAAACGGAAGACACAGATCATTCTCCAGCAGATCATCTTCTCTCCCACCTATCCGCTCCTCCCACCTTACTGACCAATCCCCACCACTGCCTACCTGTACTCACCTATCACCATCCCACCTACCTTCTGCAGCCCCACCCCTCCTCTCTCTACTTATTTCAGAGCCCCCTTCCCCCTTCCCCCTTCCCCATTTCTGAAGAAGGGTCCCGAACCAAAATGTCAACTTTTCTGTGACGCTGATGCTGCCTGGCCTGCTGTGTTCCTCCAGCTCCACACTGTGTTATCTCCAACTCCAGCATCTTGGTCAAAATAAAAATGAAAGCAGCCCAGCAAATGTCCAAAATTTGTTTACTAGGCATTTGCACTTACAGCAGAGTTCTGTAGGGTGTTGTCTATCTCATTGTCCACTAATTTTTATCTTAGATTTTTTTTTAGATTTAAAATTAGGTTTTATTGTCATGTATACCCAAGTACAGGGTACAAGAGAACAGTGAAAAGTGTACAATGTCACCAACATCTTAGGTACAAAATATCTAGGTGCAAAATCTTAGTAACAAAAGTAGAAAAATAAAGAAATAAGTTAAAAAAGTTCAGCACTACAGAGTCCTTAGTATAAAAAGTATAATCTTTATCTTAGATGGTGGAATCAAGTGTTGTTAAAGAAAATAAATGCTTGCATTTATATAGCTCCTTTTCTGGCTTCAGGACAGACCAAAATGAAATACGTTTGCATTCTTGTAATGTCAGAAATGCCACAGCCATTTCTCAAACAGCAGTGAAATAAGGGATCATACACAGAAACATACAGACAGATAAGTTAGGAGTGGACATAGATCATTCAGCCCCTCAAATTTGCTCTGCCATTGAATAAAATCATAACTGACCTGTTTTCATCTCAAATTCCATTTCCCCCCAATAAACTTTGATTCCTAAAACTCGCTGTACCTTAAATTATCTCAATGACCCTCATCTCTGCTACCTTCTGAGACAGAGAGTTCCAAAGTCAAACAGCCCTCAGAGAAAAAAATCCTCCTGGTCTCTGTCTTAATAAGGTGACCATTAATATTCAAACAGTGTTCCCAAGTTCTGCTAACATAAAGTGCCTTGCTGATGTTGGCTGGGGGATAAATATTGGCCAACAGACCAGGACATTCCTTGCCCTCTGTGGACTCCTTCAAGTATCTTTTACATCCATCTCAGAGGCCAGACATTCCACATGAAAGACAGCATCACTGACATACAGTACTTCCTCAGTCTTGGGAGTGTCAGACTAGGCTTTGTGCTCAAGACTCTGGACTAAGACTCAAAACCTTCAACTTTCTAACTCAGAGGAGAGAGATAGCAACTACGCTGCAGCTGAAACAATACCAGTCAATCGATGATTTACTGACCAACATTTTAACATCTGAAAAGAACTGGGGGAGTGCTGTTGTTGTGTGGGAAATCAGAAGTTAAAAACCTTAATCTCAAAAACAATGCACTCAGGTTTTGATGGAAGAAAGGCTGTAACCCATTCCCAGGAGTTGGGGTTCTCGTTGACGATGAAGAAATGGTGAGAAAAGATTAACGTGTATTTTTTGGGATAGAATACCCCATGGGTTGCTTGGGGGTCCTTGCACTTCCTGATATCTACATCAATGATCTAGGTCTTGGCATGCCTGGGGCAATTTCACAATTGACAGATGACACAAAACTTGGATGAATTGTAAATTGTGATAACAGCGTAGAACTGCAAAAGGACACTGAAAAGTTTGGTGGGGTGGGCAGATATGTGACAGATGAAATTCAATGCCAAAAAGTGTGGGGTTATATACTTTGGTACAAAGAATGCAGAATATAGAACAGTACAGAACGGAACAGACTCTTTGGCCCATCATGTCTGTGCCGACCATGATACAAAATCTTTGTACCCTCTTTACGTAAAGGAGACGTCCCAGAGGACTGCAGAACAGCCAAAGTTTATCCTTTGTTTAAGAAGGGCAATGGGGATAATCCATAAAATTACAGGCCTGTGAGTCATCCGTTATTGGTAGAGAAATTATTGGAGAAGTTTCTTAGGAATAAGATTTACACACATTTGGAAAAATATGGGCTGGATAGCAAAAGTTAGCATAGCTTTATGTGGGGAAGGTTGTGTCTCACAAACTTGATCACGTTTTTGAGGAAGTGACAAAGATGATTGATGAAGGCAGGACGATAGATATTATCTGTATGGACTTTAACAAAGCCTTTGACAAGGTCCCTTTGATAGGCTGATACAAAAAGTCTAGTCATATGGGATCTGCAGTGAGCTGGTAAGATGGAAACAGAACTGGCTTAGTCATAGAAGACAGAGAGTAGCAGTGAATGGGTATTTTTCTGACCAGAGACCTGTGACCAGTGGTGTTCAGCAGCAACCATTGCTGGGAACCCAGTTGTTTGTAATATATATATATAAATGATTTGGAGGGAAATGTAGATGGCTTGATTAGTAAGTTTGCAGATGACATAACAATTGGGGGAGCTGTGAATAGTGAGGAGGATTGACTAAGGATACAGCAGATTTTCAATATGCAGGACACTTGGACAGAGAAATGACAGATGGAGTTTAATCTGGGCAATTGCAAGATGAAGCGTTTTGGAAGATCTAATGCAAGAGGGAAGTATACAGTAAGTGGTAGAACCGTTCGTAGCATCAACAAACAGACAGATCTAGGTGTACTGGTCCACAGTTCCCTGAAAGTGGCAACACAAATGGATAAAATGGTCAATAAAGCATATGGCATGTTTGCCTTTAGTGGTTGGGGCATAGAATATAAAAATTAACAACTAATCTTGCAGCTGTAAAGAACTTTAGTTAGGCCATATTTGGAATATTGTGTACATTTCTGGTTGTTATACAGAAAAATGTTAAGACTTTGGAGAGGGTACAGAAACTTTACCAGGATGTTACCTGGCTTGGAGTGTATTTAGCTATGAAGAGAGATTGGACAAACCTGGTTTGTTTTCATGTGAACGTCAAAGGATGAGGGGCTGACCTGATAGAAGTAGATAAAGTTATGAGAGGAATAGATAGAATGAATAGTTGGAGTCTTTTCCCAGGTAGAAATGTCAATTAATAGGGACTATGGTTTTAGGAAAAGGGGATAAGTTTAAAGGAGATGTGAGAGGCAAGTTTTTTACACAGAGGGTGGTGGGTGCCTGGAATGTGCTGCCAAAGGAGGTGGTGCAGGAGAATACAATAGCAACATTCAAGAAGCAACTTGCCAGATACATGAATTGGCTGGGAATTAAGGGATATAAACTGCATCAACGTAAAAGGTTTTTTGTTTAGAAAGGCATTGTGTTTTGGCTGAAGGGCCTATTCCTGTGCTGTACCGTTCTTTGTTAGTCAGTGCACAATAGTGTGGCAGATGGAGTTGAATGTCGGAAGTGTGAGGTTATTCACTTTGGTTGTAAGAATGGAAAATAATATTTTTGACAGACTGGCAGCTCCTAAATGTTGATGCCCAGAGAAACGGGGTGTATTTGTGCGAGGTTATAAAAAACATTACAAATTTTGTACAAGACACAGAAAGTCAGTATGATAAAATAAAACAAAGAACTGCAGATGCTGGACATCTGAAGCAAGAACAGCAAGTGGTGGAAAAACTCAGCAAGGCTGCAGCATCTGTGGAGAAAGAAACAGAGTTAATGTTTTGATTCCAGTGAGCAATTTTCAGAATAGAAAGTTAGTATGCAGGTGCAAGTCATTAGAAAAGCAATAATGCATACTATGCATTTGCATGGGACATTAATGAGACCACATCTGAATTGCAGTCAAGTTGTAGTCACTATATTTTAGGATGGTTGCTCTTGTATTGGAGACAGTAAGCAAATTCCTCCTTACCTCTCCAATTCCTGATGCTTCAGGAAAGGGTAGAAGGAATATCCTTTCTATCTGGGATAAAAGGGTTGTCCTTTGATGAGAGCTTGAGCACATTGAGCAAGTGTATTCTCTGGAGTCATCACTGCTAAATTAATTGAATCATTCAAGATTCTGAATGCGCTTGACAGGGGAGATACTGAGAGGCAAATCCCCCGGCAGGGAAGTTGAGAACTAAAGGATACAGCCTCAGGATAAAGGGGCCAATCGTTTCAGGCTAAAGTTAGAAAGATTTTCTTCCCTCAAAGAGTTGTGAATCCTTGGAATTCTCTACCTGAGGAGCTCAGAAATGCTCCATCATTTAATTTATGTTAGGCTGAGATTGGCAGAGTTTTGGTTTTGAGGGAGATCAAGGGATATGAGGACCAGGAGGGAAAATGGAATTGATGTTGAAGACCAGCCATCATCACACTGAATGGTGAAAGAGGTTCGATGGCTGAAAGTTCCTATTTCTTACGTTCTTCTGAACGTTATTGGGAACACCAACATGATGGTTACTAGCAACTCACTAAAGTAAAGGTGTGAGTTCATAAACCCGCCACTTAAATTCAGTTAATTAAATAAATCAGAATTAAAAGTCAATCTCAATTATAGTGACTACATGACTATTGGATTACCACACAAGCTTATCTGCTCAAAACTCTTCTCTTCAGTTTGACGTCCACGCCCAGTAGAGACTGTTTAGTGTATAATCTATACACCCTTGGAATTAATTATTGATGCTTTGTATGGTCTGTGGAAATGTTCTTTGTAGACATTCCAACAAAATAATTATGTTTATACAAACATATCTAGAGGTGTACAAACCCTAAATTGATTCTTTCCACATTCTTCGGTAACCTGGGGGGCACTGCTTTCAGTGACCGAAACGTGCAGTGGACTTCAGTTGAGAAATAGCAGGTACATGCACTAGGACAGGAGAGGGTCAGGCATGGATATCCCAGAGACAGAATCAGAGCCAATGAGAGGGTCGCTGCATTAACCATATTGCACAAACTCTCCGGCATCTTCAACGTTCTGCCGAAAGAAGTGCTGGAATTTCTGCGAGGGGTGTCTCGGAGTGAAGGACGATGTTGTCCACTTTGAAGCACGGACGTGGTACAAATTCTACCCTTTACGCTCTCAGGAAATGTCAAAATGTCACCATTTTCCCCATGTTGAGAGATCCATCCAAGAAAAGGACGACTGCTTAAAATGGCAAACAATGACCTGGGAGGAGCATCAGGTTCCAGCTTGTCCTGTCAGAAAAAAGAATGAAAGCATTTAGGCACTGATCAATGCTTAGCAAGACCATGACGTGTTTGTGGTGATTGAAGAAAAGGACATGGAGTGGGTGGTGGCATTGTGGTCTACATGTGACTCCAGACCCACAGCAATGTGGTTGACATTTAACAGCCCCTGGGCAATTAGGGATGGGCCATAAATGTCAGCCTAGCCAGTGATGTATACATCCTGTGAACAAGTGTTAAAAGGAAACATCTGAATTTCTTTGACCAAGTCCATTCTTTCTAAGGACTGTACAAAATCCAATCCATTTTGGACTCAAGCCAACACATACATCCCTCTGAAGTTAGGTTCTACGTAGTTTTCCTTACCCCAGATAAAATCCAGCAAACTCCAAAACGTCTAACTAACCGTGCATCCTTGGCTCATTTTTGATATTGGCATAATGTTTCTGTGATTCCATTAATTCTGAAACCTGTTACAGTACACCAATGGAAGTGGTAATCTGCTTTCTGCATCATTGCCTGCTGTTCATTTTGAATAAAACAAAATGCACTCAAACAAATCTGATTCATTATACATTGCAGTCATCGATAAATAATATAGAGTCATAGAGATGTACAGTTTGGAAACAGACCCCTCAGTCCAACTTGTCCATGCCAACCAGATATCCTAAATTAATCTAGTTCCATTTACCAGCATTTGGCCCATATCCCTCTAAACCCTTCCTATTCATATACCCACCCCAATGCCTTTTAAATGTTATGGTTGTACCAGCCTCCAACACTTCTTCTTGCAGCTCATTCCATACACGCACCACCCTCAGTGTGAAAAAGTTGCACGTTAGGTCCATTTTAATTCTTTCCCCTCTCACCTTAAACCCTCTGGTTTTGAACTCCTTCACCCGGGTGAAAAGACCTTGTCTATTTACCCTATCCATGCCCCTCATGGTTTTATAAACCTCTATAAGGTAACTCCTCAGCCTCCGACGCTCCAGGGAAAACAACCCCAGCCTATTCAGCCTCTCCCTATAGCTCAAACCCTCCAACCCTGGCAACATCCTTGTAAATCTTTTCCGAACCTTTTCAAGTTCCATAACATCCTTCCTAAAGCAGGGAGACCAGAATTGAATGCAGTATTCCAAAAGTGGCCTAATCAATGTCCTGTACAGCTGCAACATGACCTCCCAACTCCTATATTCAATGCTATATATATAAATGCTTATTTAGATAACGTGTGCAGCTGCATCACTTCCATGATTAAACTTCTATCACTGAGTTTACACACTAGAATTAATGTTTCCCCTTGGTAGGGGTGGATCTATAATCAAGAGATAAGTTCTCGGAATTAGGGGCAATTCATTTAGGACTGAGATGTGGAGGATCTTTGTCACTCAGAGAGTGGTAAATCTTTGTATTTCTTTAGAAGGCATTGGAAGCTCAATTATTGGCCATGTCTAAGACACAAATTAATAAGTTTCTCAATAATAATGACGTCAAGGGATATGGGGGTGGCGCAGGGAAAATGGCATCAAGGTAAATGGCTAGCCATGATGTCGAATGGCAGAACAGGCTCGAGGGGCAGAATGGCCTATTTCAACTTCTATGTTCCCTGTTCCCAAGTTTAGATAGAGATGGAGATTCATAGCAGTCAATTTTCTACGAAGATGATGCTGACGAATAAGCAAATGACTGGAGTATAGCTTTTTCTGACACATTTTATGTGAAAACAATCTCCATTAGGTATATGTTTTTGTATACTCTAACCCTAATAGATTCACCTAAAGGAAACACACTGAAAGAATCGGAATATTTTAACCTAAAAAAAATAGATTGGTAATTTGAGCAGCATAATAGGACTGCATATTTTATTTTCAGGCAGCATTTTACACATAACTGCAAAGTTGGGTTTCCTGAAGTGAAGTCTGGATTCAGTACCTTGGTCCATCATTACCCACCAACCCTTCTCACCAATCTCTCTCTGGCCACCGTTGTCAAAACCTTCAATTTCCTCCATACCTCTCCAATTCCTAATGCTTCACATCTCCTCACTGAGCTCTCTGACCTCCCATTCCAAGGACTCCAGTCATAGTCATAGCCATACAGTTGTACAGCATGGAAACAGACCCTTAGGTCCAACGCATCCATGCCAACCAGACATCCCGTATTAATCTAGTCCGATTTTTCAGCATTTGGCCTATATCCTACTAAACCACTCCTATTCATATACCCAACTAGATGCCTTGTAAATGTTGTAGTTGTACCAGTCTCCACCACTTCCTCTGGCAGCTCATACCATACACACACCACTCTGCGTGAAAAAATTGCACCTTAGGTCCCTTTTAAGTCTTTTCCCTCTCACCTTAAACCTATGCCCTCTAGTTTTGGACTCCACTGCCCTGGAAAAAAGACCTTGGCTATTCACCCTACCCATACCCCTCATGATTTTATAAACCTCTATAAGGTCCTTTAACCTTCGATTCTCCAGGGAAAATAGCCCCAGCCTAATCAGCCTCTTGCTAAAGCTCAAACACTCCCACCCTGGCAACATCCTTGTGAGTCCTTCCTGAAGCCTTTCAAATTTCACAAATTCCTTCCTATAGCAGAGAGACCTACAATGATTCTTGCATACCTCCCTGATCTTCATGCCCAAGATCACTCATTCCAAACTAAAGGGTATTGATCCCACTGACACTGAGCCTAACCTCCACCCACCCCAAATTCTATGACCCCTCCTCTGCACTCCTCAGGATTGTATCTACCCCTCTCAGGCATGGACACTTCCCTCCTCAAAGCATCTACCCGTCCTCCGCATTTGAGGTCAAATTCCACCCCCAGAGTCAGACAACCTAAACCCCAGCCTACCCACATCTGCATCCCCATCCTCTGGAGGACTGGACCCAAACATGTGACCAGAACTCCCAAACCATCCCTCCCCTTGGTGGGAGATCAGACTGGACACATCCCATGGCCTCTTCTCCAGTATTCCACGTCTGACTGAGAGCCAAGTCTATTGACCAGGCTGACCTCTGCGTGGGAGCATCCCAGTAATGCCACAAGGAGTGAAAATTCCACAGTCTGGAATAGAGTTTGGAATGCTGGGCTCCTGGGGGTCCCTGCCTGGTATCAGTGTCCAGAGCTATAAAATTAAATGCCACCTCTCCCTCACCCCATTAATGACACACATTAGCCACTGCAAAACACTTTTCAAGTACACCGTTTCAAATGCAAATTTACTGTTTGACACCAGATGACACTGTGAGTCCTCAGATACTGAAGCAGTCCGTATCCATATGATCCAAGACCTGCACAATATCCAGGATTGGGCTGACATTTGGAGCACACAAGTGCCAGGCAATGACCATCACCAGCAAGGGGCATTCCATCCACTGAGCTTTGATATTCAATTGACATTAACATTAGTGAATGCCCCGCTATCAATGTCCTGGGGATCAGAACCTGACCTGGACTAACCATGTACACACTGCAGACACAAGAGCAGGTCAAGGACTGTGATTCCTGTAGCTCACCCCCTAACTCCCTAAAGCCTGCTCACCATCTATAAGGCACAAGTCAGGAGTATGATGGAATACTGTCTAATTGCCTGGATGAGTGCAGCTCCAACAACAGTCAAGAAGCTTGACACCATCCGGAACAAAGCAGCTTGACTAGCACCACATCCATCACTCTCAACATTCACTCCATTCTCCACTGATGCACAGGGACAGCAGTGTGCTTCAGCTACATCATAGATACACCACAGAAAGCATTCTATTCAGATGCATCATGGCTTGGTACAGCAATGGCTCTGCCCAGGACTGTAAGAAACTACAGAGAGTTGTGAACACAGCCCAGTCCATCACATAAGCTAACCTCCCATCCATTGACTCCATCTAAACTTCCCACTGCCTCGGAAAGGCAGCCAACATCACCAAAGACCCCTCCCACCCCAGTTATAATCTCTTCTGATCTCTTCCATTGGGCAGAAGATGCAAAAGCTTAAACATAACGTACCAACAGATTCAAGAAGAGCTTCTTCCCTGCTATTGTTCAATTTCTGAATGGACCTCTAAAATTTTAAATTTGACGTTGACCCCACTCTTTGTGCACCTTTTCTGCATCCACAACATTGTATTCCTCACTCTGTTCTATTACTCTTACGCACTTTGCATAGTACGATCTGCCTGTGCTGCACGTAGCACAAAACTTTTCACTGTATCTAGGTACATGTGACAATAAGAAATCAAATCAAATCAGCTACAAGATGCACTGCAGTCACTCACCAAAGTATTAGATAACACCTTGCAAACTGATAGCCTGTGCTACTTGGAAGGGTAAGGACAGCTGATGTACGGGAATCGCAGCACCTCAAGTTCTCCCAGCAGGGTGCTCACCATCCTGACATTCCTTCCTAACAAAACTGTGGGTGTATCTACACCCCAAGGACTGCAGTGTTTCGATAGAGCAACTCATGACCACTTTCTCAAGGGCAATTAAGGTTAGGGGATAAATGCAGGCCCAGCCAGTGATGAATGAGTGAATGAATCAAAAAAAAGGAGCACCCATGCTTCTATCCTTTAGCTACTGAGAATAATTGATCCCAAATTGAATTCTCCTTTCCATACTGGATCAGCAGGGGGGCCTTGGTCCACTTACTGGGGGTGCAGGAGGAATTGGTAAAGCAGAAGTACTTGCAGTGTATAGTGTCGACTCCTGTTCCTGGTCAAAAATATTCCATGGGGCTACACCTCCACCTGAGAGGGTAGACAAGACAAGGAACAGGAGTAGGCCATTCAGCCCCTCGAACCTGTTTCACCATTTGATGAGGTCATGGCTGATCT